GTGTTTGAGGTGTGTGTGTGTGTGTGGGTGTGTGTGTGTGTGTGTGTGTGTGTGTGAGAGAGAGAGAGAGAGAGAGAGAGAGAGAGAGAGAGAGAGAGAGAAAGAAATTTGATTTGTTTCACTTTGGTCAGGTGTCCAACACACAAGAATAGCAGCATTCCATAGTATAAATCTGACAGCAGGGTTCCCACCCCTGTTGGTGAGCGAGTACTTCTCAGTAAACACAGGTTAGAGAAATACTTTAATAGATTTTCACAAAAGTGGGTCATGTTTTCTTATTGAATCATTTTTTATTCCTTCTGCTTGGGGTTCCCTTTGTCTTTAATAAGAAATATTAATAATACCAGTAACAATTAATATTTTAGTTTTTACAATGTTCTGGACACTGCTGTAAGTATTTACAAATGTGTTAGCTCATCAAATCATATCAACAATCCTGTGAGGTAAATACTATTAGTTTTATTACTTATATCAGGAAACTGACATGTAGAAAGGTTAGGTAACACTCCTAAGGAGACAGTAAATAATGGAGCTGGGGTACAAATTTATGTATTCTCACTGTAGATCAGTATTATACAATAGAAATAAAATGTGAGCTATACATATAATTTTGATTATTGTAACAGCCAGATTTAAAAATAAAATAAGTGTAATTAATTTTAATAACACATATTATTTAACTATGTCAAAATATTATCATTTCAACATATTGCACTAGTCGATTTTTTAAATGCTCCATAGAAACATATGGCTTATGACTACCGTATTGGACAGCTCAGGTCTGGAGTCTGTGCTCTTAGGCTTTAGAACCAACTAAATCTTGATATAAAATCATGGATCCATCATTTATTAGCTGTGTGATCTTGGACACAGTTCTTAATGTCCCAGAGCCTGACTTTCTTCATGTGTAAATTATGTATAATAATGTTACCTACCCACATGATTGTTAAGATTGAGTGAGTATATAATGTTTAGAGCAATGCCTGTCACATATCAATGATTATTCACTATCATCATTATCATCCATCATCATCATCATTTATTATGCTGGCATACTCTAGAATTCACGTTTCTTCCTTTTCTTGCATATTGTCTTGTACACTTGGCATTACCAACTGTACTTTGTATCCATTTTTTCACTGTATCCTCACAACCATCCTGCTAGATAGATATCCCAAATTTACAATTGAGGCAACTGAAATCCAGCAAGATAAAAGAACTTATATAGATCACAGAAGTAAGAAATGATAGCTTTAGAATTTTTGTTCGTTTTGAAGGCACAGATTTGAATATACTTATTTTTGTTTGAGTACTTTGAATATTTGTTGAAGTAATTAATAAACATCAACACTGCTTCCAGTGAGCCTAACAATTCTTTATTAAAGTTATCTTTAAGTCACATGGCAGTTTGTTTAGAGGATTTAAAATTCCTATTTTGAAGAATTACTGCTTGAGACACTGAGAAGTTCCACTGGTAGTATGTAATTTAGTGATTGTATTACCACATACACTTGAACTGTGTTATTTTTGGCATATTGATTTAATTTTATGTTTCTGAGCATTCCTGTAATATACACCTATTGTAGAACATTTGCAAAAGACAAGAAAGTAACAAAAATAATTTACCTATAATCTTAGCACCAAAAGTTGTTATTCATTGTTAACACTTGGTTTGCTTACAAATGCATGTATATTTTTCACATTATCGAAACTAGACTAGAAACATAACACTGTGACCTCCTCTTTTCATTAAAATTAAATGAGTTTACATCATAAGAATTTTTGAAGAACAACAAAAACTCTTAGAAAACATCACTATTATTGATTGTACAGCCGTCCATAAAAGTTTAATAATATAATTTATAATGTAATATAAATAATATAATAATTTATTTTGTGATGAGCTAATTTCACATTTTTCCCAATACAAATCATGATTCAATGACCACCTTTCATATATATTTTTCCAGTATGTTGGATTATTGTACTTTAGATGAATTTCTAAAAAAGGAATCACTGGTTCAAAGGGTTAGCTTTATATTATCAACAGGACCAGTTGTAAAAAGTGTTGGAGAGGATGCAGAGAAAAAGGAACCCTCATGCACTACTAGTGGGACTGCAAATTGGTACAGTCACTATGGAAAATAGTATGGCAGTTCCTCAAAAAACTAAGAATTGATCTACCATATACAGCAATCCCTCTACCAGGTATTTACCCCAAAGACTTGTATATATATCCAAAAACATATATCCAAAAAATAAAAAGATATTTACACACTGATGTTCATAGTAGCATTATACACAGTGGTCAGGACATGGAAGCAACCAAAGTGTTCTACGATAGATGATTAGCTAACAAAGCTGTGGTACATATACAATGGAATACTACTCAGCCATAAGAAGGGATGAAATACTGCCATTTGCGACGACATGGATGGACCTTGAGATAATCATGCTAAGCAAAATCAGCCAAACAGAAAAAGTTGAAAATCACATGATATCACTTATATGTGGGATATAAACCTAAAGGCCACAAATGAACAGGACAAACAAACGGAGACCCATGGACATGGACAATGGACTAGTGGTTACCAGAGGGTGGAGGGGAGGAGGGAGGTAGATGTGGTAAAAGGAGTCAAATATGTAGTGACAGAAAGAAATTTAACTATGGATAGTGAACATACAATTTTATATATGTAATATATAAAATATATATTAAAGTTATTTTTAAGTCACATGACAGTTTATTGAGAGGCATATATATATATGCCTTACTGTTAAATTGTACACTTGAAACTTACTGGATTATGTTAACCAATGTCACAATAAAAAAAGGGGGTTAGCTATATAAGTATCTTGACAAGTACATTAATTTCAATATGCCAATCTATGTTCTTTTAATAAGATAGATGGCTACTTTATGTGCTTGATACACCTCTGTTTTATTTTTTCTAGGTTTGAAGAAGCTAAGAAGGAGGCTCATGCTGTAGATATGAAGCTCTTGGAGAATTGGGAAGATGATGCCACCCTGGAAAAAAAATGGCCCTTCCTAGGGGTTCCTTTGACAGTCAAAGAAGCCTTCCAGCTGCAAGGTACTGTTTTTTAGATACATGGGTCTTTAGATACATGGGTTGAACCCACAAATGGCATATGTATTCTGAAGTTATAAACTGAAAAAAAAATATTACCAAAGGGAAAGACTAATGTAAGGGTTTCTTCATTTCTGAATTGAGGGGAAATATTCTGCAAGTTCCATTGAGAAGAGAGACAGTAGTGACCATCATCTGTTAGAACTGGATGGCACATGAGGGGCTATGCTCAGTGCTCATTAATTCTCAAAGCAGACTATAAGAATAGTATCATTATCTCATTTAAAAGTAAATGAAAATCCCAGGTGTTTGACAATTAAACATACTTCTAAGTAATTCATGGGTCAAAGAAAAAAGCAAAATGGAACTTTTGAGGTAAAAAGAAACAAAGCAACAATATACTGAAACGTGTGGAATACAGCTAAAGAAATGATTAGAGGGAAATTTGGACCTTTGGATGAGTATATTTAAAGAAAAAAAATATTTAAAATCAATGATCTAAATTTCCACCTTAGGAAACTAGAAAAAGGAGAGCAAACCAAATCTAAACCAAGTAGAAGGAAACAATACAGATTAGAGTAAGCTAGAAAGCAATAAAACAATAGGTGAAATTGATGAAACTAAAAGTTGATTTGAAATGATCTGAAAACTGACAAGATTTTAGCTACAGAAACAAGAGAGAAAGAATAAGAATAAAATCTAGAAAGAAAGAGGTAGAATGAGTACAGTTTTTAATCATATTAAAGGAATTATAAATTAATAGCAGTAACTTAATATAAACACATTAGGCAACACAAATGAAATGTACAGATTCCTAGAGAGACAGAAATAAACAAAAGTGATTGAAGAGGAAAGGAAAATATGGGAGTGATGTCAGAAGCACAGCAGCGTGAGGGGTCCCCTTGATCTCTCCCCGTGAAACTACAACGAATTAAACAGGTACAATACAACAGAAGATTTCCAGCCTAACACACAAACACTTCTGAGAGATCTGCACATCAAAACATCTGAAAGTGGGCAAATCGGGTAAGCAAGGGAAGAGGAAAGAGAAGAGAGCAGAGACAGGTGCTGTGGAAGCAGCCTGGAGCTCCCTGCAGTACTGAGGGAGAGAGGAGGAATCGGGTTGCGAAGTGCACACTTTGTAGCCCCAAGCATTCGTGCCTGAGCGATCAGCATATATTAAGGCAGAACCCAGGGATCAGGGCAGGGGCCAGGACAGAGACAGAGTACAGAGGTGCAACCACTGTGTTCTTGCAACTGCCATTGCCAAGCAAAAAGCTGAGCCATGGAACCTGACTGCCTTCTCCCACCCTCACTGAGTTCACCTCCCTGCACCATCCCAGAGCTAGCAGTGAGTGTTGGGCTACAGAGCAAGAGTCTTCAGCCCTGGGAACTGAGATGCACACCGCAGCTGGTTAGGGGTGACAGGGATGGTGAATGGAAGCCAGGCAGCTGAAGTCTGGTGGTCACCATTACTAGGAAAACAAAGCCATAGGCACAGTGGTGAGCTTTCCTTCCCTACCCCACCTCTACCCACCCAGGCTGAGCCTGGCAGAGGCACTGGGGTACCTTAGGCAGCACAACACTGCACCTTGCTGCTGGGGTAGCACCAAGACTTCAGGAGCTCTTTAGGGGCTCAGTACCCCATCACCCACCATATTTGCTCATGGGGGTAGAGCCGTGGGACCAAGGCAACTTAATCACAGACAACACACACACCTCCTCAGGGAATAAAGGGCATTTTTTTTTTGCCACCAGATTGGCCTGGGCAGTGCAGGAAGCTTGTATGCCACTTACTGGAAAACAAAAGAAAAACCTCTTCTTATCAACCTGCTAAAGAGAGATCACTCAAAATAATAATTTTTTTTAAAAGTAAAGTACATTCCCATAAATGCCTAGGTGGATAAATAATTCATCAAATACCATGAACAACCATGGTGACAAGGCAGCTCGGAAAGAAAATGAAAAATCTCCAGAAAATAAAATTAAAGATATAGAAATATGCAATTTAAATGACAGAGAATTCAAGATTGCAGTTTTGAAAAAATACAGTGAAATGTGAGAAGATGCAGGCAGTTTAATGTATTTAGAAATAAAATCAATGATAAAAGGAAGACTTTACCAAAGAGATTGAAACTTTTAAAAACCAAATAGAACCTTTGGAGCTGAAGAACTCAATAGAAGAGATTAAGAATGAAATAGTGAGCTTAGGAAATAAAGCTGACCAGATGGAGGAAAGAATTAGTGATATTGAAGACAGAAATCTGGAAATGATGTGGATAGAAGAAGAGAGAGAGACCTGAGAGTTAAAAAAAAAAATTGAAAAAAACTATAGAACTGTCTGGCACCATCAGAAAGAGCAATATAAGAATAATGGGTATATCAGAAGAAGAGAGGGAGAAGGGAACAGAGATCCTATTCAAACAGTCAATGAGAACTTCCCAAACCTATGGAAAGAACTGAATCATCAAATCTAAGAAGGAAACAAAACACGTAATTATATCAATCCAAAAAGGCCTTCTCCAAGGCACATTATATCAAAACTGTCAAAAATTAATGACAAAGAAAGAATTCTCAAGGCAGCCAGGTAAAGGAAGATGGTAACCTATAAAGAAAAGCTCATTAGATTTTCATCGAATTTTTTAAATTTTTCATTATTTGCATTTATATAGTTTATGAAATGATTCCCGTGATTACTCTATCATCAGTCTGGCTTTACACATAGCCATTACAATACTACTGATTACATTTGCTATGCCATACTCCCCATCCACATGAATATCATCGAATTTTTTAGCAGAAACTCTACAAGCTAGGAGAGAGTGAAATCAAATATTCAAACTATTGAAATAGAGAAACTACCAGCCAAGAATAATATATCCAACAAACATCTCTTTTAGATATGAAGGAGAAATAAAGTCCTTTTCAGACATACATAAGCTGAGGGATTTTTCCACCACAAGGCCTGCATTACAGGAAATACTGAAGGGGGTTATTCTACCTGAAACAACAGGCAAAAAGATATAAATCTATGAGTAAGATGACTAACAGACAAAAGCAGAGTATCGTAAACCTTATTCGGGGTATTATAAATTTAAATATTACATAATGGTAAAGAATATAAAAACATTTTTAAGAGAGAAGAAGATAGTAGCTACTGCAACTCAGAAATGAACTCACAGCATAAATAGGGATAATTTGAGACAACAAAAACAGAAAAGCAGAAGGTAGAGGTCTGAATTTGCGAAGGGGAATGGAAATAAGACACATGAGGAAGAAGAAGGACTACTGTGTATATGAAACTTTCTTTTACATAAACTTAATGGTAACCACTCAAGAAAATCCAGAACTGAGACACATAACTTAAAAAAAAGAGGGAACAGAGGGAAAAACCATAGAATACCACCAAACTAAAATAACAGAATCACAAGGGCAAAGAAACAGTGGAGACACTGAACTATCAGAAAACAAAAGATAAAATGGCTATAGGAAAACCTCATATGTCAATAATCACCCTAAATGTAAACAGACTGAACTCGCCAATAAAAAGGTACAGAGTAGCAGATTTGATCAAAAACCAAAACCCAACCATATGCTGCCTTCGAGACACTTCTCAGCTGCAATGGCAAATATAGACTTAAAGTGAAAGGATGGAAAATGATACTCCAGGCAATGGCTTCCAGAAAAATGTGAGTATAGAAATATCCAATGAAATAGACTTCAAGATAAAAAAGGTAACAAGAGCCAAAGATGGATACTTCACAAAGATAAAGGGGACAATACATCAAGAAGACATAACACTTATCAATGTATATGCTCCCAATCATCAATACATCAAGAAGACATAACACTTATCAATGTATATGCTCCCAATTGGGGCACACAAAAATACATAAAGCAACTACTAACAGAACTAAAGGGAGACACTAACAAAAACATAATCACAATAGGAGACCTAATGACACAGCCTTAATGACACATTAAATGAACTGGACATAATCAACATTTATAGAGCCTTTCGTCCCAAAACACCAGATTATATATTCTTCTCTAGCACACATGGAACATTCCCAAGGATACACTATATGTTGGGACACAAAACTAGCCTCAACAAATTTAAGAAGATTGAAATCATACTAAGCATATTCTCCCACCACAATACTTTGAAACTGGAGATCAACTGCAAAAAATAATTATCATAATAAGCAGGGAAAACCATAAATATGTGGAAATTAAACAACATGCTACTAAAGAATGACTAGATCAAAGAAGTAATAAAAGGAGAGATCAAGAGATACATATAAACAAATGAGAATGATAGTACAACATATCAAAACTTTAGGGATACTGCAAAAGCAGTAATAAGAGGAAAGTTCATATCATTACAGGCCTATCTCAAGAAACAAGAATGAGCCCAAATCAACACCCTAACATTACATTTTAAAAAACTAGAACTAGAAGAACAAATGGAGCCCAAAGTCAGCAGAAAGAAGGAGATAATAAAAATTAGAGCAGAATTAAATGATATTGAGAACAAAACCTGGTAAGGATAACACACAAAAAAGAAAATGTTAGACTAATATCTCTGATGAATACAGATGTAGAAATCCTAAACAAAATACTAGCAAATCAAATACCATACATTTAAAAAATTATACATCATGATCAAGTGGGTTTCATTCCAGGGGCACAAGGATGGATGGTTCAACATACAAAAATCGATCAATATCATACGCCACATAAAATAAAGGATAATATTCATATGATCATATCAATAGATTCAGAAAAAGCATTTGACAAGATACAGCATCCATTTATGATCAAAACCATCTATTTATAATTAAAACATTTAATAAATGGGTATAGAAGGAAAGTATCTCAACATAATAAAGGCTGTATATGACAAACCCTCAGCTAACATCATACTTAATGGTGAAAAACTGAAACCTTTTCCTCTAAGGTCAGGAACAAAACAGGTTTCTCCACTATCACCACTCTTATTCAATATGATATCGTAAGTACTATCTAGAGCAGTCAAGCAAGAGAAATAAAAGGCACCCACATTGGGAATGAAGAAGTCAAATTGTTACTTTGTGCAGATGACATGATTCTCTGTATAGAAAACCCTAAAAAATTCACAAAAATACTATTAGAGGCAATAAACAAATACAGTAAACTTGCAGGATACAAAATCAACATACAAAAATCCATTCCATTCCTATACATTGATAATAAAATTTCAGAAAAACAAATAAAAAACACCACACAATTCCTTTTGCAATTGCAACAAAAGGAATAAAATACCCAGGAATAAACCTAACAAAGGATGTGAAGGACCTATACACTGAAAACTATAAGACATTATTAAAAGAATTTGAAGAAGACACAAAGAAATGGATCATTGTCATGGATTGGAAGAATCAACATAGTTTAAATGGCCATATTACCCAAAGTAGTATACATATTTAATGCAATTTCCATCAAAATCCCAATGGCATTTTTCCCAGTGGAATTTTTTAAAGAAATAGAACCAAAAAAAAAAAAAAACATAAGATTTGTATGGCATCGCAAAAGACCTTGAATAGCCAAAGTAATCCTGAGAAAAATGTACAAGGCCTGAGGTATCACTCTGCCTCACTTCAAATTATTTTACAGTGACAATAATCAAAACAATATGGTATTGGCAGAAAAAAAAACAGAGCATACAGACAGGTGGAACAGAATTGAGAGCCCAGAAGTAAACCCACACATATAGGCAAATAATTTTCAACAAAGGAGCTGAAAACATACAATGGAGCAAAGAAAGCCTCTTCAATAAATGATGCTGGGAAAATTGGAAAGCCACATACAAAAGAATGAAACTAGACTGCTGTCACCATACACCAAAATTTAACTGAAAATGGATTATAGACCTAAATATAAGGCCTGAAAGAAGGAATTACATAGAAGAAAACAGGTACTAAACTCATGGA